AAATAAGCCCAATGTGTGATGTGTCATCATGGAAAAGAAATTGCTCCCCTTAGATTTAGTAACTGGGTGTACTATTTTGACTTCCATAGCTACAACCAATTATTATCCATCTCATTCATAACTTTACAGGAATTTTGGCTCATATTTCCACGGTTTTAACTCAATAATATTTAAGGTTTTTTTCTAGAATGAAATACTTGTTTCAAGACATGCTGCAATGGTTTTATGGACTTTAGATCTAGACTTTCATTTGGTCAATCAAAATGATTAAATTGCATTTCTTTATCCTTTGTCTTCATCACTAACTTGCATACATGGTATCACTATCTTACTACATGACCTATTCTACTTCAACTTCAGTTGTTCAACAAAATAGAAAGAAAAAATAACAACAGAGTAAAGAAAATATATATAAAGAAATGGCTTTCCCATTCATCACAAGTTTAAACAATTTTAGTAATTTATCATCTTCCCTTAAAATAAAAGAAATAATCTCTTCTTCCTATTTCCCATCTTTTATTTATAAACAAATCCTTAAAGCCTCCATTTCAATCCTGATGTCAGCAAAAGTTCATTAGTGGTTAACAGAGATAACAACATATGTATTTTAACCTTGATCAAGTAAACAACTTAATATTTCTTCCCTTTGTTTCTAACAATTTTGATCTTTAGTCCAAATAATATCCTAGAACTTGATTTCTTTTGACTTTTTCTTTGTCCCTTCTCACAAAATTCTTCAAAACTTCAATATATCTCTTTTGTAAATCCAATAAAGGGAAATTATCCAGGTCACTCACTTAGTATGTTATTTGTATATCCCTTTTAATTATTAAGACATCAGCCAGTTTCTTTTGTATGTTCACTGTAACATCTTTTTCCATGTCATTCTTGTTGTCTGTTATTTTTAAATCCACTTTCAATTCAGTCTCAACCTTGTCATGTAAAATCAGTTCCACTTCCATAACATCTTCTTAACACAATCTGTAGAGGCAGATACTCTTAAAATTAACTTCTGAGTCTATTGTTCAAAAATATCCTTCAATATGGTCAATGTTAAAATATTTTGCAACCTCTTGAATAATTTTAACTTGTTCTCTTGGAGTGATTTTGACAAGATAATTGCAACTCTTCTAAATCTCCATTTCAAGACTATGACTCAGATGGTGGGCTGGTGAAGATCCAAAACTTTAGAAATGATTTTGAAACTTTGTCTAGAATTATAGCCAGCAATGACTTCAAGTCTCTGGAAAATTATGTTGAGAAAAAGAGATCTTTCTTGTATTGTTATGGTGAGAACTGTGATAAGGGACCCAATATTTATGAAATACAGTATATATAGGGCAGGTCTGGTCAAAATCAGCCTCTATTGATGAATGGAATATTCCTACAACTACCCCTAGTTTAACTGAACTGACTGACTGTATATTAGACTAAATTCTAATAACTTTTTGTGACAAATATATGCAAAACCTGAGGAAATCTAAGAAGAGGAATTCTTTTCCACAAAATTTGTATCTGGATGGGAGATCTAGGTTGCAGGTTAGATGGGGAATCCATCTAAAAATCCACAAATACAGCAAAAGTATTGGCAAATCATTGCAAGAAAATTGCATGGATATTCTCTGAAATTACTCCTAACTGAGATTGATTTGGAAAAAGATTTACAGTACTGTATGGGTGTAAATCTATATTGATAATTTTATAATCTGTTTCTCAGTCATGAGAGTCCATTAAAATAGACGCTGTTAAAAAATTGTCCAAATAAATATAAATAAATTTATGCACCTATGCAGGTGTAATTAAGTGGAGGAGGAAAGGGAAAAAACCCAATAGTTTTACTGTAAGACTTCTCAATTTTATTTTTGCAGGCATCTTAACACCATGTTTATATTGTTCCTGATAAAATAGTTGTGTTGATTACTTCCCAAATTCCAGAATTCTTTCAAAAATCTTGTTTTGAATGCTGAAGATTGTTTTAGAGCTCTCCATAGACCATATTAAGTCTCTAAGAAAAAGATGAATATGAAACAGCTTCTATATGATAATATGATAAAGATGAATAAATTTGCATTTGACCATGCAGACACTTGGAAGAAAAGCAGCACAGAATATGAGAGTCAGAATGGAGCCTCACAAGTGAAGCATATGAGAATGGATAGGGTTTAGGGGGAAATTGTTACCTTGGCAACACATAAATGATGCTAGACAAATGAATTTTAAAAAGCTACTGAAAAATGGAAGATAACTAAAAGAAATGAAGCCACTACATCTTACTATGGAGGGCAGAGGCAACAAAGAACACCAAAGGAGGCAATGCTGATAGTTTTATATCGTACATTAATTTCATATCCACAACAGAATGCTTTTTGTATTAACCCACACTATGCTATGCTATGTCAAGAGTCAGGAAGATGAAATACATTTTCGGCATAGTATCTCCACCAAGGTGCCCTTAAAATTATATGCATTGGTTTTAACATGAACAAAAGAGTTAAGGCTGAGACACAAACAATAAATATATTATTTGCAACAAAGGCTTAAGCACTCAGAACTTTCTCATGTTTTTAGGTTAGCATTGGGGAAGACAGCTAGGAATATAGAGATGTTCCTGAGACAAATAAATCCCTCTGTGATCTCTAAAAAACCTTTTCTTTTATAGAGAAAGTGGTGAATATTATTTATTTATTAGATTTCTATCCCATCTTTCTTCAACTTTCACTTGAGGCATAAATGACCAGGCTCATATTGTCATATTCTGGACATATTATGTGAAGACCTGCTCTTTTGAGGAGCTTATAATGCTGAGAAAGGTGAAAGAAAAGAGAAAAAAAGCAGCAAAGTGAATGGACCCAATTACAATGACATTAGTACATCATGAAGGGCCAGAATGGGGAGAGGTAATCCTAGGGAAGGTCTATCTATTTGGTCACTAAGAGTTTGAACGAACTTGATGGCACATTATCAGATTGTTCAATTAGCTCATTGGTGGATATAATATTATTTTCTCTGATTTTTCCTCATAATAATCTTGTAAGGGTACAGAGAAAATGACTGGCACTTTGTAATCCAATACACTTCAATGGCTGAAAGTAGACTTTGTCCTACTGCTATATCTTAATTACTACATCACCCACATTGATTACTATCATCAGTGAGAGATGGAAGGGGAAAGATACCTGACTGGTTGGAAGAATCTAATGTTTGAGTTACCTGTCAAATCTTACTGGGCATTCATACGTTAGTAAGACAGAAAATAGGAAGGAAAGGGAGGGAGAAATGCAAATTTGGGAGAAACAGCATGAAGCATAAAGAGACCAAAATAGCCATGAATCTACTGAAAGTGCAATCCCATGGGGTACACAGCCAGTAAATCTGTATTAGACTTTGTGACAGGCTAGGCAATACATCTTGATTCTCAGATATTTCATCTAGTATTCAGGAATTTGCTGCAAGAGAAGTTCACAGATGCAAGACAACTAGATAAGTGGTTTTAATGCAGACAAAATAGAAGCTGTGCAATATGTGTCTCCTACAAATCACAAACACACAATCATTCCTCTCTTTCCTCTCCCTCTCCCTCTCCCTCTCCCTCTCCCTCTCCCTCCCTCCCTCCCTCCCTCCCTCCCTCCCTCCCTCCCTCTCTCTCTCTCTCTCTCTCCTGTCTGTCATCTATCTATCTTCTATTTTAGTTTACATTTTTGGCCTTCAGTGGAAATTATATACACTGGTAGTTCTTTCTAGCATGAGAACTATTAGTCCCCATCTCTTCAGCTTTAGTCCTTACAAACTGGTTTGAAAGATATTTCTTTCCAGCCATTTCTGCTCAGCCACTCAATTTACAATTTACAAATAAAGCAGACATTAAAGCCTTAGATCTCCACATTTTCTCATTGAAAGAGTCATGCTTTCAACACAATGAAGCTGTTCCTGGAATACTTAACTACTTAAAAAATAAGGCACAACAGCAGGGTTGAAAATTTCAGCCAAGCTTTCCCTCTCTTCAGCCACTTGAGGAGGGGAGATGTAAATGTCCCAAAGATGACAGACAAGGAGAACATCAGATATTTTAAAAAGTGGATTGGGATTTGATTTTCATTTAGTGGCGGTGTTTGTGGGAAACTTTTGTATCTTGAACAAGATACAGTGTTAGTTGTTTTGGATTCCCAAGAGTTAATAGCAAATTCTTATTACTTATTATTTTAGAGCAGCAATATTTTCTGAGTAACAATTAAGAGCTTTTGTCTTTATTTTATAAAATAGGATGCATTTGTGTAGATTTGAGCATTGAGAGACTGGTGAATTGTGTGACTAGACATGTGCCTTGGGGGTTCTCTAGGGCCATATTTAGTGGAGACCCCAATAGCTAAAGCTTTTAAGTCTCTTGTATTCGTTCTGTGATCAAAATAATATCTACTTCATTTCTGCTACAGTGCGTCTATGATTTCAATCCATTGAAAAACCTCTGCAAGGCAGCAGAAAACCTACCTTTTGTAAGACCCTCCAAAGGTGCATTGTATGCTAGAAAGATACTAAGCCTATCTCCTGAAGTGACTGCCTATATTATGTCTCGGGTCAAAGAAGCAGTTTTGAACTGAATCATCATGAAACCAGTCACTGGCTCAAAAAGAACCTCCCTGCATTCATCATCAGCAGGCAGCAAGAACAAATAAAGAATGAGCTATGGGCAAGCATGTCTGATCCTCTTCTCCACGCAAAGAGAGAGGAAAAGGAATTGTTCTCAGAACAATGGCAATAGAGAAAAAATTATATTTTCTGTCTATGACTGTGTTGATCCCATTAAGTATTGGACAACCAAGCCCAAGTAGATGGAATTCATTTTTTTAAAAAAAACCACACTGCTTTCAAATAAAAAGCTTAAATCTGAATTTAAATGAGAAAAGTTTAACTGGTCTTAATTGCTTATCAGCAGTTTCAGTCATTCAACACTCATTCAAGAATTCATTGCTAAATGACATATGAAGAAGCATGATATATCCTACCTGTCAAAAACATCAGGGAGAGGTCTGATCATCTTTTGCCATATTCCCAATCCTTTCTGGTCATTCAAGTGCCAGAGCTTTCTGCTCTGCTCTTTTCCAGTCTTGTTCTCAACAAGGACAAGGGAGACATCTCCAAGCAATGTGCCTTGGAGGAGCCATGATATCTGAAGCTAAGAGAGAAAAATGTATGCAAAATCAATTAAAACAGCATACTAAGAAATAGCAACTATCTGAATTATGTCAAATTAATCATGTTCACCATTCATTTAATCAAGAACAGAAGCAACTTAGAACTAAGGAGAAATTTCCTAACAGTTACAGTAGAACAATTAATCACTGGAACAATTTGCCTCCAGAAATTATGGGTCCCTTCCAACTCTGTTTATTCTCTTCTCTTCTCTTCTCTTCTCTTCTCTTCTCTTCTCTTCTCTTCTCTTCTCTTCTCCTTCTCCTTCTCCTTCTCCTTCTCCTTCTCCTTCTCCTCCTCCCTCTCCTCTCCTCTCCTCTCTCCTCCTCTCCTCCTCCTCCTCCCTCTCCTCTCTTCTTTTCTCTTCATATACTATGAAGAACTGCTGAAAATACTTCTCCAGTGGTTGCATGTGACTCGCTCCAATCTGTGCTCAATCTTCCCTCCACCCAGAATAATCTAAAATTGAGTTTCTATAAAAGTTTCTATTTCCTGGAATATAAATGCCACTTCCTTTTCTTATATACCTTATTTTATACAACAGAGATGCAGTAAGATGGAATAACTATTTTGGTAATCATTTCAGAGATGGCTTATGCTGGTTTCAATACTTTCTCAGCCACTCAAGAGATACAGTTATAATGCTTTAGCCTTGAGCTCCATTCTTATTCCTTCTATATGCCATATTGTGGGAAATAAGCATCAGCATCACACTTTGTAGCTTCTATATAATCTGGCTGGTTTGGAGATCAAAGAGCTCTGCATTTCTTTCTAGACACTATAAGGGTTTACTTGTCTCACTTCAGCTGATCTTAGAGCCCCTTTCCACATTTACTAAGAATATTTCAATAGCAAGCTTTATAGTGATTTCCAACATTACATTAATTCACTTCTAAGAAAAGAAATAAACCCACCACCAACAAAAAGTAAGGACAGAGTTCAACAGCACAATTCAAAATAAAGCAGAAAAAGTGAACATAATGAACATTGAAAGAAAAGGATATTCGCTTGTATGTAGGAGTAAAAAGAAGGATTTGGCTGAATATTCACTATAAAATGAGTTTGTTAATATTGAGGTTATCTTCCCTAGCTCCCCTTGAGTTGGAACAAAGTCTCATCAAAAGATCTGCTAAAACGGGGCATGTTGAGACTTCCCCAAGAGAAACCACTTATGGTACATATTTACTGGCAAGACTGAATGCTTTGCCTGAGAAGTATATGATTGTTTAATGATGATACTTCTAAGCAAGTGATGGACTAGAATAAGAAATCTATCATATCCTGCAGTAATTGAATTTTCTGTACTGTCTTCAGTCTACCTGTGTAGACTGCATTATAATAGACTAATTTGGAAGATAAACTGGCCAGTTTAGAAGTTTAATTTAGAAGATAAACCTTGTAGACAAATGCTAAACGTAAACTGTACCGTCAACCAAGAATCTAGGGATAGGTTGGGCTCAGGTGCATCCCTAAACATGGCTCCTTTTAGAAGGGTGGACTGGATCTTGAATAAGCAACTGTCTAGCACTACAATTAGTTCCATTTGATTTAGACTGATCTTAAAGCACATTCAATTTCTTAGATAAGTATTTGGACCTCATACTTTGATATGATAAAAAGGTAAAAAAACCAAAACAGTACTAACTGTTACTTGCATAGCAATGATGCCTAACTTTGTATGTCATTTTCCATTCATTTCATAGAGACTTTAAAAAGCAGGAAAGGTAATATGGCATTCTAAATGTTTCCATTCATAGCATTCATTGTTTTTCTCTTCTTCATAGCATCTTTCTAGGTACTTTTTAGATCATTCTAGCGTTTCTAACCCAGGAATTTTGTTTATGTCTGTGTCTGTAACTGTACTAGATAAATCTCTTATATTAATATTACTTTCACATAGTTCATCTCTAATTTTCTGTTATGCATTTTAGTTGTTGGACAGGCTTTGTTTAGTTTTGGTACCAGATACTACATCCAAGGCCTCTGTGAAATCTCTGTCATTAAACACAGGGCACTTACTACGCTGGAAGAGTTCCCAGCTCAGCTTAGCATTTAAATATGCCTAAATATGTACATTAATATTAATATGATTTTTAAATAGCAAACCCCCCTCTCTCTAGATATGGTTTAACAACTACATGTTAAAATACACAGAGGTTTGTTTTCTATAATGAATAATTTTGTATTCAAGCAGTGGCAGAGAGAAGTACAAAGAATGCAGTAAGAAGGTATTGCCAACAATTATATAGTTATGTCTCTTGATATTAGAAAAATTGGTTTTATCTTTTCCTCTGAAGGTTATTATAAATTTTTCAATTATGCTCCGATAGTATTTGGATTTCTATTAATTAAAATACCATACACCAAAGTAGTCTAACTGATCTCACTTAGGTTTAGAATAACCAAGTACCTCTGTGATCCTTTTATTCCTATATATAAAATCCCTTCCTAATGCTGCTATTTGCCATTTAAAATTGGGTTCGTCTCATTGTTATGACTAAACATAGTCATAACAATGACTATGACTATAAAACAATGACTATAAAACTTTTGCAATTTTGGTAAGTCTCAATAAAGTGCAGTATGAATTTGCATGTGCTTATAGAAATAGGAAATAGGAAAAGGACAAGGAATTTACAAAATTAAAGTTCTGAAAATTCAGGAAAGTACAAACATTCAAAAAACAAAACAAAAACAACAACCCTGGACAATATTAGAATACAGAGAGGTTTATTATTATTATCAGTATTGAAATTATGTTTAATAATAATAATTTATCTAATGCTCTGTGTTTTATATATATATATGTATGTATGTATACACATACATACATACATACATACATACATACATACATACATACATACATTTGGAGTTGGATCTTGAAAATTATCTAATCCTTTATCTAATCCTAATAGTTACCCTAAATCCATCTATAGCTTTGCCTGGCCTGGAAGACATTTCTCCCATATAAAGTTTACTTTTAGTCCTACTTTATTTTTCATGGTTTCACAAGCAACCTATTAATTAGAACAGGGATGTGGGATATATAATTCTCCTAGTGTGGATAAATTAAAATGTGCAATCCTTGTATTGGCTGGAATTGCTAAGAGTTGTAATACAGCATTATCTAGAAGGCCACATATGTCCCACCTCTGCATTAAAAGATAAGCTGTTTTTGCCTATTTCCACAGAAGCATTCCATGACGTGCTTTTCACTTTTTCTGGCATTATAGCTGAATTACTTAGCAGAGCATAGAGTTCCACTGTAGAAATGGATTACTTCCCAACTAAGTATGCTCATTAAAACATTAAACTTTAGAAACGAAATATGGCAAGTCACATTAACATGCACAGCTTGAACAAGGAGCCTGCTGAGGAAATGACAAACCCACATCTCCATATATTCATTTAGCCAGTCTTAGGGCTCTTCTGGGTGACCTGCTAACTGCAGGCAAGCATCACTTCAGTGGTCATTTATGATGCCATCTTCAGCTCTCCTCTATCCCGTTGAGGAGGCAGCCTGCAATGATGCTCTTGGGCTTTGCTTTTAAAATGGTATTTTTTGACCTTGCACCAGCATGAGTCCAGGTATGTGTTTTCTCTGCTGTGCTTTAATTCAATCCAGGCAATGTCTGAACTTTTATTTGTTGATATACAGAGTTGCCAAAATATTCTCTCCCTTCTGATTGTGGGTTTCTGTACTTCACATCTATTCCCCAAATGTTTACATGTGAGAAAAGGGACATGTCCTTAAATCCACAGCTTTTGCTGTATCAGGCAAGACAGGACTGAGGCATTATGTGGGATGGTATGTGGGTCTATGTTTGACAAATTGTGCTCTGAAAAACAAGTTCACCAACTCTGTCCTATGTGTAGCCATTGTTAAGAATAGAAACTGGTCAGAGAGGAACAGTAGTGGACTTACAAAACATGATATTTTTTCTTTTAACAGATTCCCCACTAGGTCAATGAAACATGACTATTTCCCCTTTTCCAGATGAAAGGGAAAGTTTTTCTTCTGACATAAGTGACAGGAGGAACGTTAAAACTGATGCAAGTTGTGTAAAGCTGTCCAGGCATAGCCTGCTATATATAAGAATGTAGAACTGAATAAGCTGGAAGGGACCTTGGGGGTCTTCTAGTCCAGCCCCCTGCTCAAGCAGGAGACCCTATACCATTTCAGACAAGTGGCTATCCAGCCTTTTCTTAAAAAATTCCAGTGATGAAGCACCCATGATTTCTGAAGGCAAGCCGTTGCACTGGTTAATTGTTTTCACTGTTTGGGAAGTTTCTCCTTAATTCTAGGTTGCTTCTCTCTTTGGTTAGTTTCCAACCATTGTTTCTCCTCCTGTCTGGCTTTGGAGAATAATTTGACCCCCCTTTCTTTGTGGCAGCCCTTCAAATATTGGAATACTGCTATCGTGTCACCCCTAGTTCTTCTTTTCTCTAGACTAGCCAAACCCAAATCCTGCAACTGTTCGTCATATGTTTTAGCCTCCAGGCCTTTGATCATCTTAGTTGCTCTTCTCTGAACTTTTTCCAAAGTCTCAATATCTTTTTTGTAGTGTAGTGACTGAAATTGGTTGCAGTATTCTAGGTGTGGTCTTACTAGGATTTTATAAAGAGCGAGACAAGAGTAAAAATATTACTGCCTCATGACCCTCATCCAGTAACTTCATCTTTGTTGGGAATCTTACATATCTCCATCTAGATCAGTACTGTTGGTTCTACTAGACGGAAATAGTTCAGAAGATATCTGTGAATCAAACCTTTCTAAGCTACAGCCCTGATCCTTTTTGCCTTCTGGAAGGTTGTTAAGACCTTTTGATTTCCCAAGTGTTAGGACCAGGATGTCAAGGGAGACCAATGAATGCATGTTTGTTTTGTAAAATAATGACATAGTGCCTTTTTTTGGTAATAGATCATTTTTAATTTTGGTCTGGGAAATCTCTCTCTCTCTCTCCCTCCCTCCCTCCCTCC